GTAAATGTAAAGAGGGGCCTTTGTGTCGATTCAAGTGTGTGACTTTCTTAGGCTGGTTTCAATGTTCTTGGGAGGCTGAATGAGGCATCAGGTTCTAGGGGTGGGCATGGAGTGAGACCATTAGCAGGAGATGGCACACTCCATCTGGGAGAGAGAACTTCACTAAGAGTCTCTCTCTAGCTTCAATAGACTTAAGAGCTAGGGATTCTGCACACCAGTCTCTGTCAACCTTTGTCACCTGACTCTCCTGAGTGCTATCCCTGTGCTTCTTTGTGCTCAAAGCTACAGCTCTCCCACTTGAACCATAGTGCCACTTCTGGTTTTTGAATGGTTTATTGGAAGTAAGAGTCTTATGGGGACTTTCCTGCCTGGCTTGGCTTTGAGCCACGATCCTCAGATCTCAGCCTCCTGAGTAGCTAGGATTACAGGAGTGAGCCACCAGCACCCAGTATCCTCATCTTTTTAAGCTCCCATAGTTTAGTGTCTTTCCTTCTTGCCATCCATTCTGTTGACTAATTTCTTTTTTGAACTTGGAGAACCTCCCTGCTGATTATAACCATGACATTTGGATTGGCCTAGGAGACACTCTGTGCTAATATTATTGCAGGTTTCCTAGAAGTTTGAGTTTACAAATAATTTGTAGCAAATTAGACTCTTTCCATCTAACAACTGACTCTGACTACGAGATCAATGGTTCCCCTAATTCGGTCCTTGTCTCTCTCCCTAAATATAAAATGCTTGGGTATGTGTGTACTAAAGGTTTTATGTTGTATCATTGTTAGGTAATCACTCTAATCAGTGTGATCAACTGATCACACGGAAAATCATCGTTAATTTATAAGGGATAGTAACAACAGCATGGCGTAGTAGCTTTATAAATTATTTTTTTTGTCTTTTCTTTTTAGGTACTGGGGATGAAACCCAGTGTTGTACTTGCTAGGCAAGCACTTAGCCACTGAGCTACATCCCAGCCCTCTAAATGTTGAAATATATTTCAGTATATAAATACTGAAACTCAGGTAGCCTGAATCTTCAGCTCACTGCATGGAGGATGGCACTGTGGTCTTGGAGAGTCAACTGAATCCTCATTAAAGTGTGTGAATGATAAATAAACGATGAACAAATCTTCATTGTATTAAACCACTGAGGTTTATTTATTTATTTTTATTTATTTATTTTTGCTAGTCCTGGGGCTTGAACTCAGGGCTTAGGAGCTGTTCCTCAGCTCTTCAGCTCAAGGCTAGCACTCTACCACTTGAGCCACAGTGCCACTTCCGGCTTTCTTCTTTTTTGTCGGTCGTGGGGCCTGAACTCTGGGCCTGGGTGCTGTCCCTCAGCTCTTCAGCTCAAGGCTAGTGCTCTACCACTTGAGCCACAGCACCACCTCCGGCTTTTTTCTTTTTGTTTATGTGGTATTGGGAATCGAACCCAGGGCCTCAGGCATGCAAGGCAAGCGCTCTTACCACTGAGCCACCTTCCCAGCCCCTGAGTGATGGTTTTAAGTTAGAGGAATGATTTACACATTATGTGGTAATGTTAGGCTTTACATAAAGAATACTTGAACCCGGTGCCAGCGGCTCAGGCCTGTAATCCTAACTACACAGAAGGATGAAATCTGAGGATCACATATGGAGCCAGCTGGGGTTAGAAAAGTCTGTGTTCTCTCCAACTAACTACTTAAAGCTGAAAGTGGAGTTGTGGCTCAAGTGGTAATACCATTATTAAGCAAAAAAGCTACATGACAATGCCCCAGCCCTGAATTCAAGTCTCTATACTGGAATAAAGAAAGAAAAAAGATGATTTGGATACAAGCAGTACAGTACCATGAAAGATGATATTATGGCAGAAATATCTAGTGGTAGCGCAAACAGTGTGGATGTGCCAAAAGAGTAGCAACTCAATAGAATGGATTGAAACCTAAGATTTCCTTGTGCTTCCCAGACTGGCATGCAATTAAAAACTTAAAACA